CTCAAACAGAAATAGTATGAAGAAATATTACGTACTTATTTCGCGAGTTTATGAACGAATTATCAGTCAAAACACGCGCCAGGGGAGGAATTTTCCATTTACTTTCCAAACATGGAGATATCTATATGTCACGATTATGTGTTGGCACTTTTATTTGGAATTTAGATTCTGCAAGGTCATTCAGGGTGATATTCTATATTAGCGAAAATTTCAACCCCCCAAAATCAGACTCCAAAATGCGATGAATCTCGATCAAAATAGTTAACATTAGTTACAATATTTCTCCGGTCCCTAAACTATATTTTTAAGATGCAAAGTGCATGCAAAAACGACTTTCTAGCTGAGTTATATTAGGAAGTATATGTTCACATGTAACACGATATGCATATGCATTTTGTTACCAAAGAGTTTTATGTGCCTACTGCAATCAAGAAATTCGATTAGTGAACAACGCACTGGTTTATCTGAAATCACGGAGCGAAAAATTGTTTCCACTGACTAGGCGATGTTTCCAATTGTTGCTTACAGTCAGGCCCATAACTATAGGTATATGAGTCAATCGAGTACAAGTTCAATGACAGACAGTAGTTCTCTCTATGTAAAGAAGCATTATTCTTGCCCTACAGTGACGTAAGAAATGGGAGGCTGTTTGGGTGCACAAGTACCCCAATAACAAAAGTGCGGGCCAGCGCCCAAATATTACAACAATTGAGCACAAACACTTTTTTATTATGCACCTGATCAATGATGTTCGACCAAAAATATTTGTAATTCTTAGCCTCAGGATTGGGGGCAAACTACAGTATAAATTATAGTCATTGTGTCACTGTTTATGAAATTGATATTTCGTTTGAACTGCTCCCAGAATGCAGGAAATAGCGTTTCTAAGCCTTAGAAAATCAAAAATTTTCTGGGGGAGCATGCCCCCAGACCCCCCCAGAAGTGTCTCGGTCAATCAAAAATCCTATAGTTACGCGCCCTGAAATCAGTGAAAACTGTTATGCTTTCAGTAATGAACCAGGAATGCTTTGGTGAACTCTTGACTCTTGCGTGAGCACGATCTAACAGACACGATTGATCTTCAGACGAAATCGCTAATCCGTGGGCAAACCTGACTAAGCGCGGACACTTAATTAATAAAAGTATAACGTTTCACAGCAAACTGTACGTGTTCTTGCAATATTCTTAATAAATGACATCAATTTCGATGCTTTGTACTCAATTTTATTGCAACACACCAAGTCACCAACTCACCAAGAGTCGGTCCGGATTCACATTTCAGCAGTGGGTCGGTCTCATTTCGCGATTACACCCTCCCAGTCAAAATCGATATGTCGGCCCCTGTGAACATGTCAATGAAGAATAAATAATTATAAGTACATTAATATACAGAGTATTTAGTTCGATATTCTCTCTAATAAATCCTATGTTTTGGGTATTTATAAGCGTATTTATTTGCAATCGATTGTTTCGGTGTCACAGTGAAATTTGATCAATGTTTACATAAAATTGTATACTGTGCTCTTGCAGCTTTAGCTGAGTCAAAGCTTTGTATTCTGTTTTAGAATTTCTTTTAAAACTTTTATCATGTTACGACAGATAAGACAATAAGGCATACAAGTAAGGCATACAAGTAAGGATCCATAAACCATACTAAGATATACAAATTAGAATCGTGCTAATCACAGATATCGAAAACACGAAAAAAAAACTAATTAAAAAACGGTGTTCTTTTCACCAATATTATAGAACTACTGACTTAGTAAGATCCTAAATGGGCTCGTGATTAACAGACCAGTTCGAGTTGAATATCTGATGAAAGTGTTCAAAATGGTTTCTATATAATTGTACAGCTTTGTATATGCGTGTGAATGAAAATGCTGTGATTATAAGTCACAGATTAGAAGGTGCATTTGGAGAGATTTTAGTCTAGATTCAGGATATAGAGGTTTTGAACTAGAAGTACACCAAAAAATTTAACTCTTCGCACAAAAAAGTAAGGATTTGCTGCATCACATCGGTCAGTCCCTCCATATGTACAGAAACCCTTGTGCAGTTCATTTTTGTATCTGCGAAGCAGATATATTGCTATCGCAAACGTACCGTACCGTATCCCTAGGCATTCAGCGACGGGCTTATATAATTCAACCAATTTATGCCAATCTAAGCCAATCAGCGATCAGTTTACATCAATTGTTTACATCGTGCCCGCATCTAACCTGCGAACGGGCATACTTTAGCCTCGTGTAGTCGTGTTATTCTTTCAAAAATATCTTGATATTTTTATCAATTTATCTTGAATTGGCTGTCTTGTTTTCTCTACTTGCGATATTATTCCGAAGTTATTTATCAACATGGAATCTTATCCTCATCTGGTAAGTAGTCAAATACCATATATTATAGATTTAAATACCAAGTTTGTTCAAATATATATCCCATGCACATATTTAATACATGAGTTCGGCAAATTACCATACTATCTATGGTTAATATTGCCGTATCTTCGGCGTAGAGACTGTGTACATGAAATGCACTCTGGAATTTTTTTATTAATATATTACACTGTATAAAATATTGGATATTTTCGAGGATATTTTAAGCCATTTGTCAACATAGTTCACAAAAAGATTTATACAGTAAAACAATCCTTCTGTGACTTCTGTAATATTTTAAACAGTCAAAACATAGCAGGCAATATTGCCAATGAACAATACCAAAGGAAACTAATGGTCTCGCGAGATATTGAATTAAATCCTGGTCGTGTATTTCTGTATAAACTCTGTTCAAAACAACAGTTCAACTAAGCTGTCATCAAATGTAGTGTTGGAGGTTAAAGATGTTATCAGTTTACAATATTTATACATTTTGGTTTTACACATTTAATAGAGTTTATAATTAAACAAAATTTTTACAAACATTTTCAAATGCTAATAAAAGAATCCCCACCCTCCCTCCTTTAATATTACATTGTTATTTTGCTTTCTAACATAAATGTTTTTGTCTAGAGATTAATGCAAGAATGATGAATAAATGTACTGGATATTGGCTAGATAATTTTGTCAGAACAACCCACTTGCAAGACAATCTTACCTAAATTCATAAGTATCAATGGTATGGATACTGCTGTTTGCAAGCTAATATTAGGCGTACAATGTTTTTCATGTTTGTTTACGTTTTAAACGTTCAGGTTTTGACCGGAAAATGTTAACGTTTTGAGCAAACCAATCAACGTTTGCCACAATCTTAATAGCAAAGTTTCATTGAACACACCGCCAAACGTTGATTGGCTTGCTCAAAACGTTAACGTTTTCTGGTAAACTGAACCTGAACGTTTGAAACGTAAACAAACATGAAAAAAATCGCACGCCTAATGGTAGGTTGCAAATAGCAGTAATAACTTAACAGCTACAATAATCATATATTATATGGATGGTCAGATCAAAGGCACACAATATGTACAAAACTGAACTTGTGATACCTTCTACTCAAACCGATATTCTCCCACAACACAAATTGTTTTTGTGTGGATATCATTAACTGTGCACAGGATTGGAATTTAATTATATACTTCATTCATGATCTTTAAAACATTCTCTACTATTCAGTGGTCTTCGATATATAATGGACTCTTTGCTACAGTATTAATGCATGTTCCTCGAATAGTTTGTGTATGTTACTCAACAGTTAACGTTGGCAAGTGTAAACAACAAGTGACAGAACTTTTGCTTCATATGATTACAATAAAGTTTTCAAAATGGGTATGGATTGACAAGTGACAGTTTACTAAATAGACACTGCGAATATTGTTTGCATGATTTTTTATTTTTTGACTGCATAATTATCCGAGTTACAATCATAATCACATAAAATTAGTTAAATTTTCTCGGGGGAGGGGGGGGGGGAGTTTCCCCTGCTGCCCTCTGTGCTGTCTACAGCCTTGTTAGATTTGTACTATTTTTGACTTTAAAATCTTATTTGCTATTATATTTATTATAATAAGTGATGAAAATGTGAATCAAGTTGTTTCGCAGATACATGTACGCGTCGCGTACCTATTTTTGGACAAGCTAGGCGAAGTAAAATTATTTAAAGTGCTACTCGTATTTGTAGTAAATTATATGGCGCGTCAACATATTGCAGTGGAATTTTTATCTATTTCACTTGTTTATGGCGCAGATAACAGCTGATTTTTAAAAATCGAAGAACAAGTGCTATATCTTATTGTTTATTTGACGGCGGAATGACGGTTAGAAATTCAGATAATAGGGTCAGTACTGCATCTGGAAGTCAACGAGTATGGACTCGGCTAAGTCGGCTTTGAAATACGATGATGAACCAGTTGCCTAACAGCTTTTATACAGCTTCACTACACGAAGTGATAGAGAAATTATATAACGCCGCTGCAGATAGGCAACTACCATCTGTGACTGTGTTGGTATGGCGTCATATCACCGCCAATATTCATGTATATCATGCTTTCGACATTGAAGTTAAATAGGACATTCAGCACCTACGTGCTTTCGACATTGAAGATAAATCTGACATTGAACATGCAGAACATTCAACATATTTTCGACATTGAAGTTAAATAGGACATTCAGCACCTACGTGCTTTCGACATTGAAGATAAATCTGGCATTGAACATGCAAAACATTCAACATATTTTCGACATTGAAGTTAAATATGACATTGAACACCTATGTGTTTTTGACATTGAAGTTAAACCGGACATTGAACATGCCGCGAATTTAGCACCCATCACAACTTCAACGTTCAAAATATGTTGAAAAAATTACCACATGTTGAATATTGGCGGAGTTGAACGATAGCGTCAAATCTCCGCCAATATTAATTAAGCTAACACAAGATAACCCCCCGGCCAAATTCATTCGTGTCCAGACCTCTAGAACATATCACATGACGCAAGCCGAGGATCGAATTCGCCGCATCTTGTCGCTGTATTGGAGGCCGTATATTCAACATAATATTCGCGTATATTCGCTTGTTTGTCTTAAATTAATTGACTTTTATAGCGCAGATTGAATTGCTAGAGACGCAAAAATTATATTTTAAAAATTCCTAATAATCGCATTATAAATAATCGATACATTTTACTTAGAGTGTAATTGCAAAAACAATGCGTGCGTCAAACTGAACTTTTGCTGCGCCAGAAAGGCAGATGGTTTTCTTTATATATTAAATCGTGAGGCCATGTGGTGTAATTTGATAGTACAGTACTTGTCAATTTAGCATAATTTTGCGCACTTTTCTAAGTTCCGGATCCGTGAGCCTTTAATAATTTTATTTGTCATTTACTTATACAACAATTAAAAAAATCCTACCTGTTTACAAAACTTTTGTGTTACACACTTAATTAATAGGTGTCTTCTTACTAATTCAATAACTGTTACACAATAAAGATTTTTGCTGTCAATTGCACTAGAATTAGCGTTTTAATAATAGCACATAATAGTTTCGTGAGAAAATTTATTTATCTTATACCATAAACTTCTGATTATGATTACGGGCTAGTATATCGAATGGTGTGAACGTTTGTAATGTGACGGGGTCATAGACGTCGGGCTTATATTCGGGGACTTATAATCGGAAGTATATGGTATAAGATAAATAAATTTTTTCACGAAACTATTCTCCTAGTTTAAAAATTAAAAGGATGTAGCCTACTATTATTAAAATGCTAATTCTAGCTAGTGCAATTGACAGCAAAAATCTCTATTGTGTAACAGTTATGGAATTAATAAGAAGACACCTATTACGGTAATTAAGTATGTAACACAAAAGCTTGTAAACGGTAGGATATTTTGTAAACAGTTGTATAAGTAAATGACAAATAAAGTTATAAAAGGCTCACGGATCCGGAAAGAAAAGTGCTCAAAATTATGCTAAATTGAC